AGTGGTGAAGTGCGCTGCTCCCCGGTAAGGACAACAGCGCGTGTTCGTTCTCCATTGCATACACCTGTGGTCCGGAGTTTTGCAAATATCTCAGCATTTCATACGAGTTATATTTCGCAACATAACCTGCCATTAAGAAGAAAAAGGCAGTAAATAAAAGAGTTAAGATTGCAATTTAAGTGATTTTATAACTAAACTTTTTGTAAAACTAAGAATAGTTCATTTAATCGCCTATCACCTGCCTTCAAGAAAGTCCTGAGCACAACTGAACGAGCATCATAAAGTCCTCTTTCTATCCTCCATCACCTACCAAAGGTGACCGACGAGCGACGCTCGCCAGTTGGTCATCAAGTGCGACAAGTTTCCGGAATGAGGCCTTATAATAGCAATAGGTCGCCTTTACCAATGAATTAGAAATAGTTTGTTGAATACAACGCTAAACTCCCTTCCTTGTCGGTCCATCTTTAGACCACAGACTTTGCCGAAATTTAACGTGATGATACCTATGTCCGAAGTAAACATGCTTGTGCATGAGCGAAGGGTCAATGTCATCTTGGCGCAAATTGGATTAACAGTAAATCATTTCAAACAGTGTTGACCTATGGGCACGTGCGCTGCCCTTTTAAGTTGTTTAGCCCCTTCATGGTCAATTGGTGATGGCCCACGTAGCCTGTTGACTATTCATTTAGAGAGCTACGTTACAAGCTTGGATAGTTAATTCCTAAAATAATTGCTTTTTGCGCTTTGGTCTCATTCTAATGCAGAAACATTGAAGAATTCATCTTATATTATAATGTAAAATCGAAAGACCAACTTTCTGTAAACCTCGGCATAGATAGTTGATATATTTATTTATATGATCCTGCAAACTGATCTTCTTAAGCTGACGCGAGGTTGGTATCAGCTTAAGAAGATCAGTTTGCAAGATCACATAAATAATGTAAAATCGTTTGTCGTTAAAAGATCTGAGACGATGCATTTTACTAGACTTTATCAAGCGCCGTGAAAACGACAGGATGCAGATTTAGCCTGCGTAATAATTTGGGAAGGCTAGTCGATGTTTCAAGTTAATGTCTGTTATGCTCCCAGATAAGTCTAGCACCAATTTGTCATTCCCCGTAGCGTTAAGGACATGGTTCGCTCGCGTCCAATGAGAAACCAATGAACACCTATGCGGTTTCTTACTACTTAGTGACTTGGATGCTTAAACGGTCTATCTCCACGAGTTGTGCGGATCTCAGCACAACTTTCAACCGTTTCTTTCCCCTCAATCGTCGTCTATGGCGTTGGTCTGATTGGAGCTTAGTGGCGCGTGCGAGTCTCACAGCTTGACCTGCAGAATAACTGTTGGTGCGAGTATTGTTTCTATTACGAACACGTCCGACCAGCGTGTCGTTCTATTAGACGCCTACGTCCTTGTGGAGTTCATTCTACAGATGTCTTCGTTCATTTATATCGTCTGTTCTCATTCTATGACCACCTCATCTATGCTTCGCTATCGATATGTATTCTCCCGAATCCGGAAGATAGGATAGGTTTCAAAGAACAGAGATTCGCATTCCGGCCAAATATTAAATGCGTCAGTTATATCTAGGTAGAAAATGTCTAAGCACTCTGCTAATGACGCGCAGATTTTTTTAAGGGGCTGAAGTATGAGCCCATGTCTCCACTGCATAACAGTGCCGTTGGAAAACGATTGAATCTGAAATGTGAGCGCGGAGTTCTGGGTCCCTTAGTTGCTCAGTGACCTCTTTGAAGACCCCGAACGCGGAACGCGACACACACTGCTCTCCTTCTTCTGTCTACTTCTTCCTTCGTGTGGTTCTCCATGTTCATTAATCGCTCAAGCTATACCCACGACGTGGTCTCTGCAATCAGAGAATCACTCAGTTTGATCTGATCGCATAGCTTTTCAATGAATTGGGTCTTTTTCCTATTTATGCGTAGTCCGATCGTTTTTCCGCTTCGTAGAGCTTATTGATCGTCGTCTCTGCTTCGCTGGTACTTCTTCAGAAGATGACGATATCGTCGGCGAAACGAAGGTTTAATAGGAATTTTCCATCAATACGTATGCCTTTCTCACTCCAATCGAGTGACTTCATTGTTCACTGCAGTGCGGCACTAAACAGTTTTGGCGATATTGTGTCAGCCTGCCGAACCCTTTTTCCTATAGGGAATGGTAAGAGGTCAATAGAAAAACTGTATTTCGTAATGCGGTTCCGACAACAATCAGGCAGAGTTGTTATGCAAGACGAGTCCAGTCCTTGACCGACGAGCGCTGATAGGGTTTCATTTGTTTCGACACTGTCAAACTCTTTTTTACAGTCAACAAAAGTCAAGATTAAGGGCAGGTGATATTCCGGACACACTTCGATAACCCTTGATACTGTTTGGATGTGGTTCATGCAACAAAATGTCTTTCGAAATCCTGCTCGTTCAACTGGTTGGGCCTCATCCATTCTTTATAGAGTTTTTTTTACTGCCACAATGCTTAACTTTTATTTGCTGTCTATTTTTTTGTAGCAGGGTTTGATATGAAATACCACCTCGAGATTCTGAGACATAAGCGAAACTTGGATTATCGGGTTTGTTTCGAATCTGGGAAACCACAGTCGCTGTGGTTATATTTCACATGATGCTCTGGCAAGAAAAAAAAATAATAGGCAGTGAATATAAGCTAAACATTGTGATTTTGACTGCATATTCAACTTAACTGGGTTCAATGACGAATTGTGCTCCCTAGATCATTCTCACAGACGGGTGATCGCTGAAAGCACCGTTAGACTTATAAAAAACTGGCTGAAACGAATGCGTAGCAAGGATCATGCTGGTGCAATGGATAACACATGGAACCTCGGGAAGGGTAAGCGTTTGTTCGAGGCGCAATTGAAGTGCCGAGTCTTGCTCAGCTCAGCATCATTGTGGTTATAACACAATATTTTCGATCCGTGAAATCCATAATGAGCAATGCTTTGCAAAAAAATAGTCTGGTTAATGAAATATGGGCATTTTATAAATCTCATTCATGCTATACACTACGGGACCAATAAGCGCCATGCCATAAGGGCGCGTGTGGCGCAGTGGTTGGAGGTGCCACTGCGGCACACACGTGGAATATCGATCCCCTTGCCCATGTCCCACCAAGCCTTCCATCTCTCCTGGGTCGGCAAAGTGGTACCATACTTGTCTGGGAGGATAGCAGCACTGGCTCGATACATCGGTAGGTCACCGCGACTCATTGTAAAGGCCAGTAGTGCATTCAATCACCTCGGAACGATGCTCAATGAAGTCGAATGCATGGCACATTCCTCAGAGATTGATCAACGCCGAGAGCTTTATCCTTTATCATTCATGCTATCTGAAAAACCAAAGAGATTCTTTCGCTTTTCTCGTTTCAGCATGTTCATCTCAAACACAGCCACCGCGGCGATGATGGTGCCGCTTGCACAGTCACTAGGAATGGAACTAATCTCATCCTACAACGTGGACCCAGAATCTAAGTACGTGTTGAAAAACATTTGGCATAATGAATTATTTATACCTTTGCCACTCAAGTTTTCAGAAAAAGGTTCTGGCAGGATTTTTCGTATTGTTCCTTTATTAATTAAAAGAACTAGAGGAATATTTTCTTCCTCTAAAATCTCTCATTCTGATTTTACCGTAAATGATAAAGGATAACGCTCTCCTCGTTGATCAATCCTTGAGGGATGCGCCATGCATTCGACTTCATTAAGCATCGTGATTGAATGCACATTTTGTCTTTACCATGACCCGCGGTGGCCTACCGATGTATCAAGCCAGTGCTGCTATCCTCCCAAACATGTCTGGTACCAATTTGTCGACCCGGAGGGATGGAGTGCTTGGTGAGCCTTGGGCTCAGAGATCGATCCCGTGTACATTGCAGTATATTGGACTGTGATTTCACCGTATAATAAGCAATTCTGTCTATTACCTCTCCGTCAATCATTGAGTTTTCGTGTCGGCACAATTAATGTCTACATGGGTTGCACTCCTGGGTAGTGCCTTCACTCTGAACTTGGAAAGTCCATTTAAATCACAGACTTTGTGGAGTACTCCACTCACCATATCATTGGCTTTGAAGCCATCCCTTAAACTTAGTTGAAGGGAGACCAAGGCCAGCAGTTGTCGTACAGTCGCATGATCCATAAGTTCCACCGGATTTACATTGGAGTTGCTTGTGTGAACTCCATTTCTCCCATCTCTTCTGTTCATTTACTCATAAGGAAAATTTTCAATACAAATTTAAAGGTGTGAATGTCACGAAAGTCCGTCCGTGTTACATCCAAACAAAAACCACGGAATAATTGTCGTTCTGTACCGTGTTCAAATAGTGCTTTTCATTTATAAGGTGACACGAGGTTGATAAAAAAAAATGATGGCGTTGATTCGACTCGATGTGATTACGAATACCTACAGATGGAGGAACAACTGCAGACAATCGACTGGGATGAACCCGGCCCTGCACAAGGCTAAGGGGTCAAAACATTAGCCGAACAAAATTCTTTCCATCAACCTCGTGTGAGCTCATCAATAAAAAATACATGTTGATTAGTCATGCCGACGTTAAGGAAAAGTCTGTATTTGAAATAAGAGCGTGGAAGCAATTTTTACCTCTTCAAAGGCTTGATGGCGGAAATGAAACAGCGATCACCTTTCGATAAAGAACCGATACCTTGCAGAGCACAATATTCGAAGAATTTCAAGCAAATGTCAGCTGGCATGTTGGTGTGCGTTTGTGTTGCGGCGAACATCGGCGGCACAGGGATGCTAACGGGAACACCGATCAATCTGGTTTTGGTTGGACAACTGCCAGAGTAAGCGGACAATCCACGCATCACCTTGAAGGCTGTGGATTTTGAAAATTCTTCGTTGAATGTTATTCCCAAAATGCTTTCCCATTACCTATGTAAGAGATTCTGTGCTTTGTTTACGAAAATTTTGAGAATGAACATAATTTTTTGTCTCTTTAATGCAACTAGGAAAAACTAACTAGGTAAAAGAAAAAGGAGAAAGCTCTCGGCGTTGACCAATCCCTGAGGGACGCGCCATGCATTCGACTTCATTAAGCATCGCTTGGAGGCGATTGAATGTATATTTGGCCTTTACAATGACTCGCGGTGGCCTACTGACGTATCGAGCCTGTGCTGCTATCCTCCCAGACAAATCTGGTACCAATTTCTCGACCCCGGAAGGATGGAAGGTTTGGTGGGCCATGGGCACTGGGATCGATTCCACGTTTGTGTTGCAGGGCGCCTCCGACCACTGTGCCATACGCGCACTAGTCGGAAAAGCTGGGACCAAATGAAAAATCTCTTTGGCAATTTTTCCTACGAACGTCTTTGTAAAATTTTTTGGAAATCATGTCCTACATTTATTTAATATTAACTATTTTATAGAAAGTACGTCATTTAACTATCGATTTGATAAAGGTGGCTAGCCTAGCACTTTAGCATTCCACGAATCTATTATAAGAAATCCAAAGTAATATCATCCACCTAATATGAGCAAGGTGGACTTGAATCCTACTAGGGCTTTATAATACGTCGATCACTTATTGGTTTCAAATGAAAACGGGTTCGATAGGGCGAAATCGATCTCTCCAAAGCTGTTCAGGACCGCGTTGCAGTGGGTAATAAAGTCGGCTTGACTGAACCAATAAGGATATACGCATTTATGATAAGTAACCGCCAAATTTTCATTTTGTTGATGACATGGCTATCTTTTCAAGGAGTAACAACGAAGCAGAAACGAGGCTGAATGAGCTTGGCGAAGGGAGAAGATAGATTAGACTGCATATAGTCCAGAAAGAACTCAGCTCACGAGGAACCCATAGAGCAAAGTTGAACAAAACAGCCTCGACGGTTGCCTGTTTCCAGAGATCACTTCGTATCCCGTTATTTCCGCGTACCTTAGAAGTTCAGTTGACATGGAAAATAGCAAAAAGGAGTTATTCAGAAGAAGGCGATGATGATAATGGTGATGTTGATGAAGAAAAGCAGTATGGGTTTTACTCTAGCATCTTGGTGAAACCACCAACTACTTGACAGGTTTGGAAAAACAACAACAAAAAAATATGCAGAATAAGAAGTAAAACAATATGAGCCGCGTTCGGGCCTCTCGAAGAAGTCAACGATCAACCCATGCGTGTGTCGCGAGCCGCCTCCGACCGCTGCGCCATACGCGTTCCTTTATTGCTATCATAGAAAAAAATTTGAATTTGTGCTAGAATCTGTCATAAAGGTAGTAAATAGTGGTCATGACTAGTTGAAGACATTTCTAAAACTGCACAAGTTGATTTGAAAATAGTATAAATTATGCCAAAAATACTAGTTATTAGGCTGTTGGATGTAAACTTTTCGATATGAGCCACATGTGTGACCACTTTCTCTGATGTCACTGCTGACTGAAATGGATTGCAGAATATTTGGCAGTGAAGTAACAATTGATTACATGACATGGTTCATATTCGCATTTCCGTTGATGTGGTGCTGTCTGCTGGCAGCTTGGCTCACTTTGAGTATATTCTTCCTTAGAAATGCACCGGCGAAGGATACTCGCGTCACTGAACTGCTGCACAAAAAATGGACTGAGTTGCCGAAAATGAAGTAAGTTTCTGCCTCTAAAGCACTATGAAACGAGAAAATAATTTTCAACTTTTAACCACTGTGTAATCTTTTTCAGTTGCACAGTATAACGTGATCCACAAAAACTCTGAGACATGATCAAAACCCGAAACCTCAGTTGAACTTCGAAACCGCGATTACCCTTTACGGCACCTCAATGTTATCCACTGCACCAATCGAGGCCGTTGCTTTGCATTTTTCTCAGCCAGATTTTTCCCAACCGGGGTCGACACTTACTTGGAGTTCCGAGTTTTATTCATGTTCTAGCGAAAAAGATGTTTTTGCATTAATCAATCTTTTAATCATAATGTCATTTATTCCACTTGAATGAGCTTCATACAGTTAACTGAAGACATATTTTGTCCACACAATGACTTGCATTATCGCGCAAGAAAGCGCCGTGCAGACTTTAAAAGATGGAAGAGTTTAGTTTGTCATGGGCACGGGATATAATCATTGATCCTGCTAAAATTCTAGAGTGCTTCCAGCCTTTGTGCTACATGCATCATCTCTTAAAACATGAAGGATAAAGCTCTCGGCGTTGATTCATCCTTGAGGGGTGCGCCATGCATTCGACTTCATTAAGCATCGTTCCGAGGTGATTGAATGCACTTCTGGCCTTTACAATGAGTCGCTGTGGCCTACCGATATATCAAGTTAGTTTTTCCATCCTCCCAGACAGGTCTGGTACCACTTTGCCGACCCCGGATGTAGGGTTTAGTGGGCCATGAGAGTAGGGAATCGACTCCACGTGTCTGTTGCAGGACGCCTCCGTCCACTGCTCCACACCCACCGTTCTTAAAACGTAACACCTGGAAAAGTATCCAATAAATTTTTTTGAAAAAAAAAGCTGCCACTTTTTATGAAAAAGTTCAAGCTTACATAAAATCAGCGTAGTAAACATTTTACCTTCTTTCATTTAAAGTGGTGTTAGTAATTTATTCAGCTATGCTGAAAAGTCGGTAGCCGTCTGCCTTTTCTTGCTTCTCTTTCTGTGGATATTCAAAGAACCAGGATTTATTACTGGTATTTTTTCACATTGTTGATTTTTCACTTAGCTTTTTCAAATTTAATTTCCAACTAGGGATTTATGTGGCGGGATTACCATTTAATACAGTGGCAAACTTATCATAAGAGCAAAGAGGCGCCAAAATTGGCTGCATTAGATGCTGACGACTGGCTGTTGATGCATTCAAGCACAATAAAGATACTGTTTATATATCGATAGCCCTAGTGGTCTTCCTCATATAATACTATAGCTCCATTAACTTTATTCGATAATTAGGTGGTTAGTTTTCATAAGTGGTGCAGGCCACGGTACTCCTTCCAGTCCATCTGCTGCATGTCTTGCAGCAGTCATTCACCAACATGGTCGAGCTCGTATGTGGCTTCGTCTGAAACTTGACGATCCATTCTCGCCTTTTATTAACATGGTAAATGTTGCTCGAGTGTGGTTTCCTTCAGAATCTCAAAGCAGTTTTGTTACGGCGTTTCCAAATCTTGACTGAAGGCTGTCGCCGGCCTTCATGGATCGAAGGAAGCTTGCAGCTTTCTTTGGTGGGTGCAGCCCCACCGCATACACATGCGGTCTTGAAGCTTGCAGCTTTGTGAAACAAATTTTCCAGAAGAATAGTGATCCCTCTCAAAGATGCTAATCCTGCAATTGTTTGACTGACCGAGGAGAATGTAACATACCGGATCCTACCGTCCATTAACAGACAGTCAAAGTAAAAATCATTAGGAAAAATGAGCACTTCGTGTACATTTATGATTCCAGAACAAAAGGCTGAACCATGGGTGGGGTTTATAAAAGAACAGATTTTGAGTGAAATATCCGACTAAATTCTGCTCCGGCCATTTTGGATTTCCATGAAACATCCAAGTTTTCCTTTTTAGGATACGGTGTGCTTTTTCCGAAAAACTACTACACAGACACAACAGCAGTGATGATGGTTGCGCTAATTATTTTCTCCCTGCCGAGCAGGAAACCGAACTTTTGCGACCTTAAGAGGAAGGAAGAGGTGATGAAGAATTCAATGCATTATAGCCCTATTGTAATTTTAAAGGTTTTTGTTACAAAAATTGTTCAGATACCTCGACTGATCGATTGGCCGTCAACACAAGTTCGCATTCCATGGGGTGTTGTGCTACTTCTTGGAGGTGGATTCGCTTTGGCTGCTGGTTGGTTAACAGACGAGATTATGTTGTAATTTTCATTTCAACTCCGCATTTATGACCTTAATGAAGAAAAGCTCTGCATTATTGACATGCTGGGGACCGTACTGTTATTTAGTAAAACATAACGAGTCCAGTACATCGCTTCAATCATTGTTAACTGAAATTTGAGCCCCAGATTCCTTCGTGTGCCTGTTCCTTACCAATTTGTAACGGTCTTTCTAAAGAGCGCGTCCATAGGCGTTCTAGTTCCACTTCCGCAATTTTCGTGTTCTTGAGAGACATTATGTAGTAGGAAGGGATATATAGACAATGACAACTCCTTACCGAATTAATTTTCTTATTTAAGTAGTCGAACCTAGAATGTTCTCCTGCCTCCTTTCCTTAAAGATCTATAAGCTCAGGGACATTGCGGGTGTCTTCTATGGTGAACTTGATCACTTCGGCGGACTAACAATGGGGCGCCATCATTTAGTAGCACTAGTCCTTGACAGAATTTATGTCCATAGCTAGTAATGGAAATTTTATCTTCCTGTTTTTATAGGAAGGCGCTTGCAACGCAGTGGTTGAAGGCGCTCTACAATACCGTTGGAATAGATCCCCGCACCCCATGCCCACTATGCCTCCTATCCTTCCGAGGTCGGCAAATTGGAACCAGGCTTGTCTGAGAAGGTAGCAGGACGGTTCGATACATCGGCAGGCCACGGCGAGTCATTATAAAAGCCAAATATGCATTCAGTTACCTCCAACAATGCTTAGTTAAGTCGGATGCATGGCACATCCCTCAGAGCTAGATGAAACAAGAGACCTTTATCTATTTTATTTTCATAGGGGCATATGTGGCGCAGTGGTTAGAGGCACCTTTTGATACATGTGAGATCATTCCCCCACCTTAGTGCTCACCAAGTATACTGTCACTCCAGAGTGAGCAGATTGGTAGTAGACCTATCTGAGAGTACAGCAGCACGGCCTCAATATATGCAAAGGTCCCAACGAGTCATTATATAAATCAGATATGCTACCACATCTAACGGTGCTTAACGAAGTCCAATGCATGGCTCATTATGCAGGGTATGATAAACGCGGAAGGCCTTCTTCTTTATTTTATTCTTCTATTTTTTTATTGCCACTTTACTTTGCGGTTTACGCCCGAAATGCCTCAGATAAAATGTTTCTCAAGTATTCACCTTGATCTCTAGAACCAGTATAGCGAAATGGCTAGAGGTTTGATGATGTTAATACATTTGAGTTTTGGAGTCTCGAGTTAACGATTGCAGAAACCCTAACCTTTTACCATTTATCCATCTAGCTCCTTGAAAGTATGCGAACTCCTAATTTTCCAAAAGGCTCACATTTTATACTGGTTATCAATCTGGCTCTGATGTGTGTGTATATATATATATATATATATATATATATATATGTATGTATGTATGTATGTATAAACGGATCAAAGGAGTTCAAGATTAAAGAATTCGTTTTCCACATTTAGTTTCCTGGACTGTTTCTTTCCCTAATTTAAAAAAGTAGAACAAAGGCGCTTCTCCTTGGTTTCAATCTGCCTAAGGAAACATTCACAATAGTTAGAATAAAAATGAAGAAAAAGAGATGAGATCCCCTTTCTATCAGTGGGCGTGGTTCTTCGGCCTCATTCATGACAAGTGTGGTAATATTAAGAGTGGCAAAGCATCTTGAAAGTTCTTCCGTCCATCCCAACATCAACTTGGAGTGTGGATTTAGACCTCTCAGAACAAAACTAGTTGATCAGACTCAGTAGATTATCAGTAGGTGTGTCAGACACGTTTTTATATTCAAGCAAGTACTTACTAATAAAGAATGCACTAAATTTAGACAAACACACCTACTCACACATACATACACGCACACACGGGCACACACACACCAATACATACGCACACGACATGCATATGCACATGCATATAGACACGCATTCAGACATTTGCCATAAATCGGAACCATCATAGCGAATAAAAGGTTGCATTTTATGAGAAAATCTGCTCTATAGTGTTACTACAACTCTTGAGGACCTTTAACATGTAACTCAAATCCCCTTCTATGACTGACAGCGAATAATGCTATAATAATCTTATGGTTTTATAATTCAGGGGTAAAGGAATCTGGTTTGTCAGTGATGCTAGGCAGATCATTGTCTACATTTCGAGATCTTCCTTTGTGGGCTTTCCAAATGTTCACTATGGCGTTTACGTTGATGGTCACCAATGTCTGCTGCAATCTTCCATCTGCGACAATACTCGTGCCAGTAGTGGCTACACTAGTAAGCAGTTAAACGCTTTTTGAAACCATTTTTATTGTACCGCTTAATATGACATCACTGTTTACCACTGTTACTATTTTGGGCATGTGGAACGGCCAAATTCAAATACTCCCTCGATAGATTAGATTTGAAGTGGGAGAAACATACTTGACTTTCACAGACATAGAATCCTTACACTTTGGAAAAGGTTTGAATTAAGAAAAAAACTTTTGACTGATCTCGAACCTTTCCTGATTTTCGGTTTTTTTCAAAATTTGACAAATACTTCGTTAATCGTTTGTTTCATTGAATATATGTCACCAGGCTGTTGAAATCCAAGTTCATCCATTCGCTTTGATGCTGCCTGTAACAATTATGGTATCGTTCACGTTTGTACTTCCGGTTGGTACACCTCCCAACGCAATTGTGTTTGCCTCACAAATGATAACAATTTCCGAAATGGTGAGTAGACTAAACGGGATTATGGACATTCAACGCGACGACAAATAAAATGGTAGCATTGTGACTTCAGTTACAGGCCCAGCTTAAATAGGTTCAATGCCGATTTGGTCTCCTTAGATAAGTCCCGTTGATGGATGATTGCTGATGGCACTGATCGATAGAACAAGCTGAGAGGCACATGAAACGAAGGGCCCGCATGGTGCAGTGGTGAGCGCGTTAGCCCCCGGAAAGGGTAACAGCGCTTTCGTTCTTCACCGCAGATACCTGCAGCCCTGTGTTTTCCGAATATCTCAGCATCGTTGTGGTTGTGTTTCGTATCATACCTTGCCGTGAAAAATTATGTAGGCAAAAAATAAAAAGCTACCATTGTCGACATTATTAACACCGCGATTTCTATGGCATCGTAAATGCCTTAGGTACTATGACAGCTGAGAGATTATGCGAAAAAACCATCGTAGTCCAGCAAATGTTCGGACTCGAGACCTAAAATAGATACGGAAAGCGTAAATGTCGACGATGCAAGCTGGGTTCTACGTGATTAGGACCTCACTATAAATTATGCATTAAGGTCCCAAATAATGCGTTTTTGTTAGAGAGCAAACCTTAAGATTAGAGGAATAAGCCGATAAAATCTTCTTTAACAATTAACAATCATCTTCTCGATGAACGAGTTTGACCCCATACACCTGGTTTCATTTGCAGTACAGTACTGCCTATTATTTTCAGGCCACTTCTGGCATTGTTCTCTCAATCGTATGTCTCCTTATCACTTTCATATATATGAAAAGCGTTGCTTTTCTTATATTTCCTTTGTCCGAATTTCCCACATGGGCTGATCTGCACAACTCGTCCGCGACCTTATGAGTGGGCAATGAAACAGAAATTAAACTGTCATCATTTTGCTTATACAGTAAAGGAGTATGTAGTTTCAACCAACGTTTTCTTTTTCGTGAATCTCACTTCCGAATAATATTTTCTTCATGATATTATTGTTATCTCTTAAAAATTAGTGCTGGTATGATTCTCATCTTCAGTATTACCCTCGTACAAATAACCTTTTGTGGATTCTGCCTTGCATACTCTAATGGTTAAGGGACATTGTAAGTTAACGTGTTTTAAATATGATTTTGTTGTTTTTATCTTCTCAGTTTTAAGCAGTGATGTTAATAGACGCTGATAGTGTTTTCTAACGATAACTTTTTTGTTTTGCCTACGCTCTGTGCTCTAAAGCTTTTTCCTTATGAGCCTAAGTATGAAAAGCTTTATCCTTTATAACCTAGTAAAAACGTCTCACTCGGTCTTTCTTGGTGAACCTTCAGATAATACAAACTGTAACATCGATGTAAACTTTTATTAGTTGCTTAGCATGATGCATGGAAGCAAAGTGGACGAAATGAATTGCATTCTATGCATTTGCTTTTTCGCGGTTTTTTCCCTCCTTCAGCTGCTTGCACACATTCTCTACTCAATACATGTCTCACCCCTAATGCTGACAAATCAGGTTTGGCCTGCGAAAAACTATTCTCTATAATTGTTGGTTAACAAAAAATCTTTCTTTGGTGAGTTCATTAACCGGTAATTCAACTGTCAGTTCATAAAAATTACCAAAATTAACTATGGTTGTCATGTTTAATAGGCGAGTACAAATGATGCCAAAATAGTGAAACTACGTTACAAAGAATTTTGAATACTGGCATCAACTTGGCTGATAGGGATATTTAGTAAACAGTAAAATGTACTCCTTTAGTGCGTCAGAACAATATAACCAATATAATCAGAAACTAGCCGTTTACACTGAACAGTCGCCCTTCACTTAAAAACCATTCAAAAGGTGTTAAATAAATCGATGCCACACCAATTGGACGAAGAATGGTGAGATCTTCCTTACAAATTTTCTTCTGCAGTTTTTTTGCGCAGCAAGAATGACCTTGTTTCCTCACCTCATTATCATGTGCGGAGAAACGTGAAGAACGTATTCGACAACCGACGACGTTCAACATATGGTTGCAACTACATGAAGCCTCTAAGCACTTCCCTCAACTTTTACACAAAGATGGCGTTAGCGACTTCATAGCGGACGAAATCATTTACAATAAATTTTTAAATCATAGACAAATTCGAACGCTGAAGAGAAATGCTGTCAAAAAATGGGTTAAAAATTACAATATATTTATACTGCTTAGGTCGGGCGGATACTTTCATAGAATAACTAACGCAACAGAAGTTAATTGAGTTGAGCTACAAAAAATTCTCAAGCTAGACAGTCATCTTCGTCTGTAGACCAGTCTTTGAAGAAACCTGACATATATACATATATACATACCTATCCAAGAAATAATCTGCAACATCTAAGTTGATGCTGAATGTGCATTCGTAGGCTAAACACGCACAGCTCACGTCAAACTTAAAAAACAACACAGAAAGACGAGAAAGGATTACCTCAAAGAGAAAACAGCAGCGGTTACGGTCGAGCCAGAGATGCTGGGAGAAGTATTCGCAAAAGTCGTAGAAACTTTGCCAATTACAAAACCATGATGATTGCACTCCGACGCCCAGATAGAACCGTTACAGTTTCCAGAAAAGAAATACAGGAAATCATTCGCGGTTAGTGCTCGAACGATTTTCTTTTAAAATAGCAATGCTCCATGCTAAATAAAGGAGGATGGATATATCGCACGACAAGTTCTCTCTTCGAAAATCCCACTGGCTATTTCGTTGGTGAAGAATGGAGCAACACCTGTTCGGGAGAAGATTAGATTTGAAAACCTAAAGAACCTCTCTCCAACTTTCACAAACGCAATAGCTCGGCTCTTCATAGGTTACCAGTCACAGCACAATTTTCCTATTCACTGGAATCTCAGCATGTATGGTCGTGTGAGGACTGTGAGACGAATATTGCATTCCGACTGAAACGTATGAATGGCTGCGCTATTGTGGTTGTGAGAACGTTAGTAAAAAAAAGTGGTAACGTCGTGCGACTCTTTCACGTACGCTCTGTTAGGATGCGCGTTAGGTAGACAATCCAAAAGCATCTGGGTACTCGTAGGATGGGCTGGAATCTGTTTCAACAACTGGGTAAATATTAGGGTTAAAAACCACGCTGTCCTATCCGTTGGTCCGTCTGTCCGTCTTTATATTATACATAGATTCTCGGATTATCCCGACTCCCTGTTCTAGTAATTACCTATAAAAGCTTGTAACCTAGGTAGCTTAGTGTTCACTTATTATCTAGCAACTATCGACCCACCGACGCTCAAGGTTAGACCCATTATCAGCTTCATTGACGAATTCACCGATAGAATAGCTTGGTTTACCTACAACCATACAAAATGTGGTTTAGGCTGTAACGGACAAGAAACAGGTCTATCACCGATAAAACGTATAGCAAAATAGCATTGGAAAACATTTCTTTATATAACAAACAGTCTAATAGTCTTTAAATGCATTGTCTGGTTGCTCATGAGCCATAACAGCTTAAGCTAAAAAGCGTTGTTCCATAGAACAATCTTGGGCCTGATCTGATTTGCCGTATTTATTCCACTCTAATGCGTGGGTCCCAAAATGACGTTCTGCAGACGTTTTTCTGGGTATAATCTTAGTGTTAAAATTTTCTACGACGACCTTAAAGAATTTATGGTCTTTTCTGTAGAGTTCTCCAAGTCCATATAGAACCTTCGACTTCGTATTCGTTATAGCTAGATGTCGGTGTGTGGACGACGAAGATTATAAAAACCGGTGTTTATTGAGATCTCTTCAACGATAAAAGTTCAATTCGTATTGCTAATTGTTACAATGAAACGATTTTTATGGCTCCACTAGTACTAACGAGAATGCCGACGACACCGTTTCCTCTATTATCGCATGTTCTGCGAAACAGTTCTTCTCTGGTGTCGCTGACAACGTTAAATGGGTGGCGTCTTCTCGTTTCAGCCAATCCGTGAGGTTTTACGCTACCTTATTTGCCTTCATGAAGCGGTCCTCTATCAAAGAATCATTAAAGTGAACGCGCATTTTAGGTTTAGATCGTCATCTTGGTCCACTTCTCTATGGCGGAGATGAGAAGATTTTTTCATCTTCATCGGAGGTAATTTTATATCAAGTTGCTTGCCAAACAAAAATTCGTCTGTTGCGATATTACTTTAGCGATTTTTATGTCTTCTAAGAGAAGAGATCGGTAAACTGCCTATACCTGGATACTCGAATGACCCGTTCTCACAGATTTGCGGTCCCCAGCATAAACTATATTTTTCGGAGTTTTGTTGGCACGTTCAACACACGGTTGGAACTATATGAATTCCCTAAACACTTCAGTCACCTAGTGTCTACCGACCCGCCGACCCTGAAAGTTAGACTCATTATCAGCTGCGTGGACGAATTCGCGGGTAGAATACATTGGTTTTTCTGCACCTTTACAGAATGAAGTTTAAGCTGTAGTGGACATGACACAAATGTGCAACCAATGAAAATATGTGACACAATAGCACTGGAAGACATTCCCGTGTTATAACATAGAGCCTAATTGCCTTTAAAATGTATTGTTTGGTTGCTCATGAATCATAACTGCTGAAGCAAAATAGCGCTGTACCAGAGAACAGCCTTGGTATTGGTTCTGTATATGAGCTTGGTCAGCATCACCACCAGTGGGAATTTAAAATGCTCCCACCAACCTCAACCACGTTTATCAAGCTGCTCCTTTCCTCTGTAACTCATCTTAAAGCTGTAGTTTAATGCACCACTTATAGATAGGTCGTGTTTGATAGTAAAATTTTCCAATTCGAAATCTAGCACAAATATGGTTTATAAAACTATTTGTCATCATGTAGCTGGGACGCATTACAGCTCATCCTACAAAAGCCCAATCGTTTCTGGATTGTCTACTTACTACTGTCTACTTACTGTCTACTTACTCTACTCATCCTAACCGAGCGTTCATGATAAAGTCTTTGGACGTTACCACCGTTTGTCCTAACGTGTGCAACGATGCTCATGGCCCTCCCAAAAGAGTGCCCTAACAACCCTAATATCTCATTCTTCAGATGGTCTGGGAAATACTAGGCTCAAACTAGAAGGTTGACAGCTGCACAGCCATTGGCACTAAGCCCTACCACTTCCTACAGGTCTGAAGTTGAAGCTCCCGTATTTACTCTTTGATTACTACTTTTCTATAAATATATTAAGTACTTTTTTCCAACTGCTCAATACAAGATAAGCAAATATTTTGAGTTGTTAAAAGAATAGTCAAAGCACATAAATTCTACCAGGGAAAAGCCGAAAAGGGCTGGCTTCCATTTCTAACACTCACGTTAACCTATTCGAAAATGGTTGCGCCATAAAGTTGTGCCAAAAGTCATGTAGCAAAAGCATCCTTTCGCACACGAACCGTGTTCTCGTGAGGAACGTTTTCCGAACAGTCACCTTTGTGTGCAGAAGAAGAAAGCAAAAGGAAGCATCCATGAACTTGATGCACCAAATAGGCGTTTCCGACGGCCACGAAACGGTAGCTCTGCGAAAGGGTTCAGGATAAAAATCCAAGTCTCAAATGAAAAACCCATCGAAAATAAGGTTCAGTTTTACCGACTCTTTGTGATAAACAAGAAAGCACGGCTACCGTCTACAAATCCATACTTAGAAAGTCCTGGCCCAGAGAATTCGGTCGCAGTGGTTGAAATACCACTGATCACTCTAGGCGCCAATTAGTTCATGGCCGATTGTCTGACCGCCTATGCAAAACGAAAAATTGCATCATTTTCCCCAGCGGTACAGACGATGATAGCAAAAGTTCGGATGCGGTCTATGTGATTTCTTGTAAAGTGTAGACGAAAAAAAACACTGGCGAAATAAGGAGACCACTGTGATATGTAACA